AATCCAGCACCAAGCACGTGTGCTATCGAGTCATTGTGGTATATTATTTAGCAAACTTATATGTGTTTAGTTACCCACGTTCGAGAGTTTTTTTAAAGTTTTATTTGCTTACTCTATTATTTCCAGAGCTTCATATGATTATTAGGAGTATTGACTACCTTATTACTACGGTTTATGTAATATCCTGTAAAAAAAAAGTTGGATACAAGTCTCCCTATTTGAGTGTTCACCCGGTTTAAAATCGTGGATCTCGAGGAACACACGAATTCATTCGACCAATCAAAAACGTGGAACTAGTTCGAGAGTCTCGTTCAGGTGGCGCGTCGACGCGCCAAAACACAGCTCCAGATTATCACGCGTAGTATTACTATATATACACGACTAATCAAAAACGTGGAACTGCTTCGAGGGCCCTCCGCTAAGGTGGCGCGCCGAACCCAGAGAAAAATTGCCTTCACCAAAAACAGGCTCATTGGCAATCCCCTATTCATCTCTGGTATCACATGGTGAAAATCGAGTATGGTTAGATTAATCGATTTAGGTATTCGATAGTACTCTAGTTTTCGCGGGAAAACCAGCTTGGGTAGTTGTATATGTATGAAGAAGCGTGAACGTAGTTATCAAGAATTCTGAATTATTGTCAACATGTCGAGTCCTATGAAACACCCGCGAACACCGTTACATCCAGATGACACGGATTCAAGAACTGGGACTCCAAGACGCCATCCGAAAACACCAAATTCAAAAGGTACTTCATCAGCCAAGGGTACACCCAGAAGAAATGTAACTCCCAGTAAGACAGGTTAGTACCTATTGAATTATATTTGATTTTATTAACGCACAAGCATTTCTGTAAAAGAGATTAACGCTCTATGTCCATAATTGGGATTATAACAATTGTGATTGCTATGAATAATTTATAGGCACTCCACAAAGAGGAGCTAGTAGTTCAACGATTGATACTCCATTACGATGGGGCAGTTTACGGTCTCAGCAGACCATTGCTGCTTCTTCAGATGGTCCAGCTTCAATTCCTGCATCATCTCCGAACCATATACTTCAGACAAGTCCAATTGCTGCAGGGATAAGTGAAATAGATCTTTCCTCACCTTTGAATTATGGTACTCCTAGTTCTTTAGGGTCCATACGTTCTCCTCGCAGTGGGATTCGTGGTACTCCCATAAGACAAAGACCAGACATCAGAACAGATAAACGTATAAGACAAGTGAATCTAGCAGATCCAATTCCTGAGGAGATACAGACTCCAACTCACTCAGAGAGTGAGAATGGAGGACTGCAACTTGTCATTTGGGGAACGAACGTTGTTGTGAACCGCTGTAAAGAACAGTTCAAACGTTTTATACAACGTTTTATCGATCCTGATGCTGAAAATGATGAATTACCAGAAAATTTAAATTTATCTGAACCCTTATACTTACAAAAGTTGGATGAAATTCATACTCTAGAAGAACCATATTTAAATATAAACTGTGCCCACTTAGAAGCGTTTGATGAACAATTATATAGACAACTGGTTTGCTATCCTCAAGAAGTTATTCCCACAATGGATATGGCTGCCAATGAAATGTTCTTTGGGAAGTACCCTGCAGCTGTTTTAGAACACCAAATACAAGTGCGCCCATTTAACGTTGCCAAAACAAAGAACATGCGTCAATTGAATCCCGAGGATATCGATCAGCTTATCACTATGTCAGGAATGGTAATTAGGACATCCAATGTAATACCAGAAATGCGTGAAGCCTTCTTCAAGTGTATCGTATGCTCTTATAGCACAATGGTGGAGATTGATAGAGGCCGTATTGCAGAACCTACTGTTTGTACGAATTGCAATAACACCTACTGCTTCTCATTGGTGCATAACCGTAGTCACTTCTCAGACAAGCAGGTGGTTAAGCTTCAGGAATCACCCGACGATATGCCTGCTGGTCAGGCACCTCATACGATTGTTCTCATTGCTCATAACGATCACGTCGATGCACTTTCGCCGGGTGACAGAGTCGCAGTTACAGGAATATTCCGTGCACTTCCTTTACCAGTTAATCCAAGGCAAAGCAATATTCGTGCTGTTTATAAGACACATATCGACGTGGTCCATTTCAGGAAGCAGGATTCCAAGAGGTATAATCTGAAATGTTTATCTATAAAATTAACCATTATATTTCTAAGTTCTGAATTAATGCATGAAGTTCTGTACTTCTTTTTGCACAGGCTGTATGAGGTACAAGAGGGTAAGGATCACGCATTTCCACCAGACAGAGTTGAATTGCTGAAGCTGCTGTCCCAGAAAGAGGATGTCTACGAGCGTCTAGCACGTAATATTGCTCCAAGTATATATGATAATGAAGACATTAAGAAGGGAATATTACTTCAACTTTTTGGTGGTACCAAGAAGACTCACACTTCTGCAGGGAGGATGCATTTCCGTGCGGAAATAAATATTCTCCTTTGTGGTGATCCTGGTACTAGTAAATCTCAGCTTCTACAATTTGTCTACAATCTGGTACCTCGTTCCCAATACTCCAGCGGGAAGGGTTCCAGTGCTGTAGGCCTTACCGCTTATGTTACCAAGGATCCGGAGACTCGTCAACTGGTTCTACAGACTGGTGCACTCGTCTTGGCGGATAATGGAATATGCTGTATTGATGAATTTGATAAGATGAATGATAGTACGCGTTCCGTCTTACACGAGGTTATGGAACAACAGACACTCAGCATCACCAAAGCTGGTATCATTTGTCAACTGAATGCCAGGACTAGCATATTAGCAGCCGCTAACCCTTGCGAGTCCCAATGGAACAAGAATAAAACGGTACGACATAATCGGTATTCCGACATATAATGATATTAATTAACTTTTCTTGTGCTTCATAGGTTATTGAGAACGTCATGCTGCCCCACACGTTGATATCCCGGTTTGACCTTGTGTTCCTGATGGTGGATCCTCAGAATGAATTATTTGACAGAAGATTAGCTCGTCATATGGTAACTTTATACTATGGAACACCTCCTGAGGATGAGGATGATCTGGTGGATATGAGTATCCTCCGTGATTACATCGTCTATGCTAAAGAACACGTACATCCAACTCTTAGTGAGGAAGCTCAACAACGGTTTGTTCAAGCATATGTAGACATGCGTAGAGTGGGAAGTACACGTGGACAAATCACAGCGTATCCTAGACAACTAGAGTCTCTTATCCGATTGGCAGAAGCTCATGCAAAGGTGCGATTCAGTAATACCGTCGAGATAGAGGATGTAGAGGAAGCATGGAGGTAAGTCTCTTTATCTGAAATTATGCAATATTAATTCGTCGTGTATGGAATTCACGTTCAGTAAAGATCACCATTCCAGACGATGCGGTCAGGTTCCTTACTTAGCATGTACTTATGTCGCGCGGTATGAAAATCGCTATATTAACAAAAAATTATTAATGATATCACGAATCCGAAAAATATTCTTTGAAGAGCAATGTTCACGCTGTTATAGTTATGGAAAATAATAATACGCTTATTCATTATATTGACTTATTGTTATTCGAATATAATTTTTATGCTCTGGCTTGTATTGAAACTTCAAACTTTTTCTTTAGCAAACGAAAGTTTAAAAAAAAATTGAAAAAATACGAAGTACACTATGAAGCCTTCTCTATTAATGGCATTAAAATAGTTCCAAAATATTGGTTAGATTTTTTTAATTTTAATAAGGCTGTGCTTTTCGTGACTGATGAATATATAAAGATGAAATTAGGCTTAAAATTTGTTTAAAAAATTGGTGAACTGGAAAAATCTTATACTTTGAAATAATTTAAACCAGATAGCATATTTCAAAATAAATTTTTAATAATATATTTCAATTGCGTTCAGAAGATTTTAGTTTCAATATGAGAATGTCGAGGTCTCGGAATCTGGGTCCGTGTAGTCACGTTAGACGTAATGCTCCCACAGGCGAATGGTTAAATTTTTGTAATTAAAAAAATTCAACTACTAATAGGCTACATCGTGAGGCATTGAAACAATCAGCTACTGATCCTATGACTGGAAAAATTGATGTTAGCATCCTTACCACTGGCATGACAGCAGCTGCTAGAAATCGAAGAGTCCAGTTCACAGCTTTCCTTAAACAATTTATAAAATCAAAAGGCAAATCTACATTGAGTTATCAGAAAATTTTCAATGAAGTAAAGGAAAAATCACAAGTGGTAATTTCGATTATATTTTTTTATTACATGGTATCTATTTTTAAAATTTATTTTCCATATTCTGTATCGAATTTTTGTTACAGTTAATTACACGAGATATATTTGAGGACTCGTTGAAAGAGTTACAGGATGAAGGTGTTATAGTAGTCGGCATGAACAACATCCGGGTGCACTAAGTGTTGATTCAAGTGATTATCTGTGTCAATGAACTAAGCTTAAATCCTGAAAGGGAACATTAAATACTTCTGCCAGTAATTTCCTTCAAAAGTCTAAAATAATGGACTCATGATGATTGAAGAGAACTTTAAATTTTTATTAAATGAGAAAATGTAAACTGCAACAGGTTATCACCATTGGTAACACTTATATCAGTCGAAGGGACGTGTGTATTTCCAAACTTACTTTTAATATTTTGTTGTTGGAAAACAGCTTGAAATTATAGTCTAAGCAAATATCTAGGAAAGAGACAGCATCCTTAACTGATATATATTTTTAAGGCTGATATATGTACACATATTCGGAGCGTTATAGTCAGAAGCCTGGAAAAGGAAAAGAAAGCTTTACAATCATTTTCCTTGCGCGCTTTAAGTACTATAATTCATCCAATTATTGGTTCAGCCACTATCCTTTTATAACACGAAAGATGGGTCATCTGTGTTTAAATCTACTAAATTTTCTAATTGGAAGAAAAGTATACAAAAATGAAGCAAACGTAATAGCGTCCTCCACGAGGATCTCAAGACCAGATTTTTGTGAATTTTAAATTTAAATAACCCGACTTGTTTTAAAGTATAAGAAAGATGGCTAAATCAATAATGTATCAAATAATTGAAAACAAAAGGAAAAAATGGTTGTGAAGGGTACTCGCTTTTGACATCATCATTCCGTATACGTGTGCACCCACAGATCTAGCCTATAGCATCCTTAAGTTCAGAAAAAACGGAACAACGTTTTAAGGGATGACCGTCAAACTTTACTTGTTATCATTATCTAATCTACAAGAATTTGTTTTCTAATAAAAGTTTCGGTACTCTAAAATTTCAGCGTTTTTATTTATTTTAAGGATATGTTTATCTACATCCGGTTACCATTCACGTTTTTCTCTAATACTAATCTTTCCTACGATTGGCTTTAGTGTCACATTCAGAGGATTCTTTTATGTTATAACCCATAATAAAAATATGACTTCAGAAAAAAAACATTGATCTCACGGATACACTATAAATTATACTAATTAATTCCATATTAACACACTACATTCTTCATACGACTGTCATTCGTAAACATATAATTTTTCGGACAATTACAGAAATTCCTAATTTATAAATTTCCCGGAGTGTTATATGTATATAGGAGTATTAATGTCTTTCTCATTAAAAATATTATAGCAGTTTCTTCAATAGTTATTTTAGAACACATTTTTGCTCCCCACTTTATTCTATCAATCTTTTATTACTTGTACCGTTTGATAAACCGAATGTTTATTTAACCTTCAGTAGTCAGGTATTGCCGGAAAGGCTGGTAGTAAATTCCTAAAGAAGAAGAAGGGGTCTTACAACAGACTATAAAGGTATTTCTGGATTTAAATAATTGCACTAAGAGTTGTAGTATATAGAAATTTCTTACATTTTTTCTGCTTTATTCTTTCCCTATTTTTGGTTCTTTCATTTTCTCTTTTTCAATGGTTTTCTTTTTCATTTGACAAAAGAAAAATGCATTCCATCCATTTTAAAGGACAGTGAATGAACATACTTCTGCAATGTACCTACCTCATTGCATAGCGATAGTTTATGTGCGAATGCGTACAGGTATAGTAATCCGAATAAAAGTGCATGTAGTGGAAGCTATAAAATGGATCCTGGAACCAAAGAAATTCGGGAGGGGCCTAATATTCTTGGGAGACCTTCTTGGAAAAGCCGTCTAATGCTTTCCGAGTTCTACGCAGCGCATCATACCTGCATCCTTTCGCTGGCTCTGCCTTTATTTACTAATACCCCGTCGAACACCTTGCCACTTGAAACTCGAAAACTGAAGCCAAATATAATTTAAGCATCTTAAAACACTAGTAACATAGTTAAGTATACTTTAACGAATACTATAAGATGCATTTTTAACTATATTTAACTTATTCAGATATATCTTAAGGTAGTATGAGCGGTACAGTCACATCATGTGAGAGTGAAAATGAAGAAAAATTGTAAACAAATGTAAAGCATGAAATTGACGCGCAGAAAGCTAAATTTAAGAAGAAGTAAAGTGCCTCTAACATAAAAAGAAATAATAGTTTGAAAATTATTAACATTGAAGCAACAAAAGCGTATTTGCTTAGAGGTCATATCTTGTACCAATATTCTGAAGAAAAATCTTTATGACTTGTCCGATTTCAATGTACTATAACTTATTTTATTCGTTAAACGATTCTCAAAAAATTCACCAGATTAGATTTCTCGATTAGCGCTATTGTTCCTCAGGAAATGTTGCCAAAGAAATTGTTTATTGAATCATAGTATGAACAAATAGCTATATTCTTAAGCCATACATTTTTAGAAATGAATCTTTTTCGGTGGATCTCTAAAGAATCTTTTAATGAATAAAATAAGCTATAGTACATTGAAATCGGACAAGTGATGTAAATTTTTCTTCAGAAAAATGGTACAAGATATGATCTCTAAGTAACTACGCTTTTGTTGCTTCACTGTTAATAGTTTTCAAACTATTATTTCTTTTTATATTAGAGGCACTTTGCTTCTTCTCAAATATAGTTTTCGGCACGTTAATTTCATGCTTTAAATTTGCTTAAAACCTTTTTTTCATGTTTGCTGTCACGTGATGAGACTGTACTGTTCGTACTACCTTAAGTCTTATAGAATTTTGTTAAGACAGAGAAAATTAATGTTTATACTGCAATTTCTATACTTCGTTTAAAAATATTAAAGAATAATGTATTTTAGTAAAAATTTCCCGTTAAACAAATTTACTGGAAATTATTTCAGGTACGCACGTTCTAGTACACCTAAGGGCTGCTTAATTCTGCCTAATGAGTACCTGCTTTTACTACACGTTTGAATTATTTGCTGCCTGGTAGCCAAAAGGTGGACAGAAATCCTTCGAGGTAAAACGGTGTTGCTATTGTTCTTCAGCGGGTAAAGATTGTATCCTTTATTACATCGACGGTCCCTTCTAGAGTTTTCTGCTTCAAGTGTTAGAACATTTTTGGTTGTCAGGATCCCTTTTGCGGTGCCATAGCTTCTCCCCAGGCCTTCCAAAACCCTCTTGGCCCCGAAAGGACCTGAGAAGAACGCTGATGCCTGGCAACTGTTGTAAATCAAACCGAAGGCCCTGTCTAGAAACTGACCATTGACTATTTCAGGGATAAAACGCCTCGAATTACCGTTCTCTCTGAAAAGTGACGCATGTTTTCTCTTTCCTCCCTTATGGCATCTGTTTCATCCTTTGCGACGTGCTCTCGATATTGGAAATTATTTCGAAAAACGTCTACTGCTTATAAATATAATTCATTCATGTTATATACATTCATTCTGTCATTCAATTCTGCATCGTTTTCTGACCTGTTCTAATGTTCATTTTCGTTTGACATTGTACGGCGCGACACTCAACCGATTGTGAGTCTGTAAATATCTAATTGTAAGGCAATTAAAATCTGCACTCCTTTTAGAATAAGTTCCTAGTCTACGTGGTGTATTATTGCGTTTCTGCATCTTTTCCGAGACTTCTCCGTCGTTCAGCTGTAAATATAAACTGTATCGATTTTTCGTGAAGAACCTACCTTCTCAAAAATGCCAATAAATGGGGGACCCTCGACAGTGGGCCCAAGCCCAGAGTAACATCTGCGCGTTTTTCCAACAATATCCGCAGAAAATGTTTCTCGCCCGATCATTTCAATTTGTAAACAACAAAAGACATCGGGAGTACTCCTCTGCAGATATAGGTAATTCTAAGCATAGAGTTCGTTTCAAGAATAGTTGTCCTGCTACAGTGACATTGCATATTTAAAATATTCCTGACACGGTATACGATATGGATGTCTGAGTTTCGATGAGATACATATTATTATTATCATTTTCCTTAATTGAGTAACTTAGTTATTTTCTATGTAAAATATTTTAAGTCACCACGAAAGCGCTCTGAAGTCCCTCAAGGGACATGGTGTTGGCAGCATCGTTTTAGCGTTCATAACGTAGGCGGACGCTAGACCGTCCCTGTAAGATTTTCATCTTCTTTTGTAAGACAAGATTTAAGCAAAAGGCCCCCTGTTTATCGGAGAACCGGGCACATACATATATAAAATCCTATGAATCTAAGACGTACTCTCCCAAAAGATGAGGACATATCTTTCCCTTGCTTGATTTTTACTAGATACATGCAATATTGTTCCTTTAAAAAATTTAGGCCAACATTTTATATTAGACTATAGTAAATAATACAATATTTTAAAATATTGACAACGTACTTATGTTTTCACATAAATGTAATCAATCGAGAAAATATGTGGACAGTGAAAGTTTGGTATATGCTTCTTGCAGGAAATGCGGAGTGTATGCCCGAGGTTTTAGGTACCCGCTGGAAAACTGTGTCTTGCATAGAAAACAGAAAGGAAAATAAGTGGCGTCTATTTTTTTGATGTTCTCGTAGATACTACTGTTTAGTCATCTTAGAAAGTTGACGATATTTTTCGATATTTCTCTATCAACTGTTTCCATTATTACTAAAAATCGAAAATTCTATTTCGGAAAATTGAGATTTAGCTTATATATTCGAATTCTCTAGAAATGTTGTATTTAACTTACGAAGCTTTAAATGTTCTGTTCGATCTGTAGTAGTTATAACGGTTCAGTCTTGTGATGAACAAGATATTAGCTGGCATCAAGTAAGGCCACTCACACTTAGCAATACGAGGTCTCAACATTTTTTAATTTCATTTCGAAGAAGTTTTGTATTCCGGATGCCGCAGATTAGGAGGCATTTTATTTTCATCTCCACTGAATAGGCTACAGTGTCAATAGAATCAATGGGGTATATCGCTTTTGAGAACAGATGGGCCCACAGCGGGCGAATGGATGAATTCTCGAAATTGGATAATCTGATTAAAAGAAGATCTGAAAATAAGGAAGTTTTTTTTCCTTTAAGCGCGGGTAGTATTCATATTATGCACGCATGTATGGTATATATATGTATATTTATACATATACGTAAACGAGCGCACACAACGATATGCAAATTCTTTTAATTCTTTAGATGATCATTTTGCTTCAAAATGAATCTTAGTTAGGTGTATTTTTAAAAAATTCTATTTACTATATATATATATATATATATATATATATATATATATATATACACATATTTTTTGCTAAGGAATACTTTGGAGACGATTTCATTTTCGAAGTCGCTTATTTAAGGACAAGTGGCTGTTTTGGATACCGACCTCAAAGATTTTCCAGCGTAATGACTGTTTTGAGGACCATAAAGCGGACTCTCACACCAAATTTGTTTATATTTTTTCAATGTTAGACATCCAGTATTTGTTAGGTTAGGTCAGGTTAGATTAGGAAAGAATTCGTTAGTCGTTTTTTTTTAAACATTAGCTTGCTATTGTGAACGCCCCTTGATTTTTCGTATCTCCAAAGTATCCCTTAGCCAAGTGGCTAAGCAACAATAGCAAGCTAATGTTTTTTTAATTCTTACCTAATCCTAATCTTACCCAATACCATTGGAATTCTTACCTAATCTAACCTAACCTAACCTAACCTAACATAACAAATGCTGGATGTCTAATATTGAAAAAATATAAACAAATTTGGTGTGAGAGTCCGCTTTATGGTCCTCAAGACAGTCATTACGCTGGATAATCTTTGAGGTCGGTACCCAAAACAGCCACTTGTCCTCAAATAAGCGACTTCGTAAATGAAATCGTCTCTAAAGTATTCCTTAGCAAAAAAATATATATATACAGAGTATTCCGAAATTAGCTGACCAACGGGATATGGCGGTGTTCGGGAGACACCACTGATCACGAA